AGAATTTTGTCTGTGCAATATCGTTTTTATTTTTTCGATATCAGAACTACAAAAAAAGTTATTCATGCTTAAAAAACACAAAATTAATGTATTATAAAACAATAAGATTTTTTTTTGTATAAGTGATATCGAAAAATAAAAATGATATTTTACAGACAAAATTCTCCTTTTTATGTGGTGAAAATTTAGTTTCTTAGTTATAACTATATCTTTCTCGGTTCTTTACCGCACAAAACAGTTTTTGCAATGTTATGCACTTGTAAGACGGTGACAACACATGTGGGTGTAGCGTCCTCTTAAGAGAATCTCTTACCCGCATATGTTGTCGGCCAACTTACCAATGCGTAATATACTCAAGGTTTATGCAGTTTTTTCTGCAGTATTGTATTATTAGCTTGAATATTAGAGTGAATTGACTATACACGAGTTGCTTCTCTCATGGCATGGAGTTTATTATCAAACTTAAACTTAAGAAGATTATCTGTGTTGTTTTATTGGTTTGTTATGATATTTTAATTTTTGTATACGTTCATGATTATGTAAAATATTAAGATTTGAAAATGCTCATAATCCAGTTAGAAATTAAAAGAATGTAAAATCAATAAGAGAACACAATTCTTACATTTAGGTTTGCTAATAGGTTAATTCTTTCTAATATTCATGCTAATAATATAAGATTGGAACAGCTTGACATGTATTTTTCCATATTATTCCAAGATGGAGACTACATGTTTACTCATAATGTTTCTAGACGTAGGAATTATTCAATGACTTAATAGAGATTGAATAAAAACGTCTTATGGATGGGCTTGCCATAATTGCCTATCTTATACAAGTTCATTATTTAAAAGTTGCTTGTTTCATACAATAACTTACTAACCTTTAAAATATATTTATTTATTTTTTTAATTATCGTGATGTGTTTTTTTGCATCTAAGATGTACAATGGGATAATCAACTGTGATTTATATAAAATGTTTGTTTTTTGAAATATTTAAAATCTTATTATGGTAAATTTCTTACGTACATATCTGTAACTGCAGAACTTACTTATCATAAGGGCTGGAATTATAATGCCCTAAAAAAAACCCAAAAAATGCCCTTAAAAAATGCTTTTATGACCTAAAAACCCTAAAAAACACAAAATATGACCACGACGACAAAACTTGTACTGAACGTCGAACGATATCATTGGACTTCGATTTTACCGACTTAAGATTATTTAACAGGAGTACGGATAATGTTTACTCAAACCTTGTCCAATAATATAATACGAATTACGAGTACCTACCTACTTATAATCTCTCATATCTATATAAAAACCATGTTGGTGTAAAAATCTTAAAATAAAATTTCATACTTGGTTTCCAAAAATTAAGAAAATGGCCTAAAAACTGAAAAATCCCCAAAAATGCAAAATACACTTTCTTATTCTCATTCATAAGTACATAAAATAAATTTGTGACTGAACGAGCATCGCACAGTAAGCTTTGGAAACGTACGCAAAGTGCATCAAAATTTTTTTCTTTTATTTTTTTAATTATGACCAAATTTTTTTTTAATAGTTCAAACTATTGATTTAAAGAAAATAGTTGTTGTGTTGTGAGCTTCCCATATGTGTTGACTCTATGTTACTTATAGTAACTCGTAAGATAACAAAGCTTACATTCAGAAGAATGCATTTTACTTTATTTTTTATTTTTTTAATACTAAAGTGAATTTACTCAATTTAAAATGTATAGGTATAAAATATAAATATCTCCAAGACTAACATCAGCTTTCGAGTATTAAAATTAATTTTTAAACTATAATTAATACCTCTAGTTTATAATAAATTATTATTTTTATTTTTTTAGGTATTTTTCCATAGTGGTAATACTAATAACGAAAAGGACTTTGAAATTTGCTTCCGAAGCGAAAATGTATTTTTACCTAAGACTGGTTATTTTGGTGTATCTGCCGCTACCGGTGGTCTTGCAGGTAATGATCTCTTAATAGAATATTCTATAAAGTGTTAAAATGTGCTTGTTGTTAAAAACAATTATATATTTCAGATGATCACGATGTTAATAATTTCTTGACATACAGTGTTTACCCACCGGGAACAACATTCAAACCAGCTGGTAMATCTCAACAGTCTTCCGTAGACGAAGAAAATAAATTAACCAAGGAGTATGCTGATTATCAACGGAAATTAGATCAAGAAAAAGAAGAGTAAGATAATTGTTAAATATTAGTTGACTCAGTAAATCAAACTTTGATATCTTGAACACAGAAATGTCACCTTCAAACAAATATAATAATTGCTTTTTATCAACTTAAAATTCTCTATTTAATTTTATACTTGTAGACTAAATTTGAAATATTATGTTTTATTCTTATTTACTACTTTGTCATACTATATAGTTATCACAAGCAGCATCCAGAAACTAAAACGAGAGAAGATAATGAATTTGAAGATTGGTATGAAACAGATAGTCAAAGAGAATTAAATCAAATATTTTCTGGTCAAGGCCAGATTGTAGATTCTGTAAAAGTATTAAGCGAAAAACTGGATGAAGTTGTTGGTCGTCAGGAACGAACGCTCAGTTTGTTGTCTAATGTTCAATCTACTATGGCGGTTGTTGGATCAATGGGTAGTGCACAAGGACAACCTCATGGTAACAACTTTTTGTTAACTATTTGCATGCATTTATTGATATTTTCTGTTTATTATAATGTAGTACAAATGCCACAAGGGAATGCAGGAATTGGAAGACATGATGTTGATTTACTAATTAACAACCAGAATGGTATTATAAACTCTGTGAGAGAAGTCAGGTATTATTTAAATATTTGATAAATATATTAGTTAAAATTGTGATTACTATTAAAAGTTTTTGTTTTTGTTATCAAGATGAAATATATATATAATCTTTCCAATTTAAAGTACTTGGTGAATTGTTTTATTAGTTTTCATTTGTATGAGATTCATAAATTGTCATTTATAATTTATCTAAGCTAATTTTCTTAAAATAAACATTACTCATACCTCAAAAGTTCAGTTACAAATTTAACTTTTAATCTATATACAAGTAAATACAGGCAATAGATTTATGCTTTTTTATGAGTGCTCCTTGCAATATTTTAGTTATGAATTTTTAGTGATATTCTAATATTCCAAATTAAAATCATATAAGTATACGATCATACATTAATTAAATCATACTTTATTTATACTTTTCCTAGGAATTTAATGGCAGAAGTACATGTAAAGACTGAAAACATAATTAAAAACCAAGCTCATCAACCAACAGCTCAAGTTCAACCATTAGGTTACGACCAGGCATCAATTATACATGAAATTAGAGACTCGTTAAATACCATTAAGCGAGATGCATCACAGAAGGCTGGGTATTCACAACAATCATCTTGTCCTACATGTGCAACTAATACTATTGTGTTAGTTGCTGCAGTGGGCCAAACATTATTGTTTATAATCTACACTTTGTATAAGTAAGTGAAAACAACATTGATAGATATTTTAAATTTGTGGTAAGCCCTGTAGGAAATTTGGAGGACCAATCAACATATTTTGAATTAGTTATTAGATGACCTTTAAACCAAATTAGGTTTATCAAAATGAAAATTAGTAACTAGCCACTTTAAAAATGCAAGTCTATAAAATATATCGATTTAATTGTTATTTGTTTAAAATAAGTGTTACTATCACTTGAAAACATTACAAGTATAACTAGTCTGCTACACTGAAAAATTAACTAAATTGAATTATGTCCTTCTTCTAGGGGGAGTTATTTTTATTCATTAATCTCAGCTTATTAAATTATTCACAGAAATAAAAAAAAGCTGATTATATTAACAGGATGTTAATATGATGCCAATCATGTTATATATAAAATTGATACCTATAGTAGGTAATTAAGTTTCATAGCCTAAAAAATAAAAGATAGTCTCTGCTTATGAACTTAACAAATTTCTGGCCATGCCGCCTACAATTTCAATTATGTCTAGAATCCAGTTATGTTACTACACGAATTCAAATCATATAATTGTATGAAACCATTTCTTCATGTCATACAATTTGAATAATATTACCTTTCCTTGTCGGACAAAAATTGTTGTTCATGTAATTTCAATGTCAATATCTTATGTTTAATTTGCCTGAATGGTTGTTTTTTTTTTTTTTGTTTCAGGAACAGTAAAGAATCACAAGCTAAGAAATTCTATTGAACCTTTGAAATAAAAACACTATCCTAATACTATGTTTATAATTAGGAGATTTCATTAATTATTGCAGTTGTGTTAAAATTTAATTGATACCTCTTATGAATAAGATAGTAAAAATAAATAGTAAAAATGTAATTTTGGTACAGGGATTGAATCTGCATGATAAATCTGCCAAAACATTTTTTTTTTACCATGTAATTAATGACTTATTATTTAATTAAGATAATTTTTTAAGGTTGTTTTACTTATCATTACAATAAGAATGTGTTGTGATTTATAAAAATAAATTTAATTGATTAATTATTTGATTCAAAACTATGTAGGCCAGAATTGGATTCATATTGATTCATTACAGATTACAACTATATATTAT